GTAAAGCTATCACTGCAATACGGTTCTCTGCCTTGCCCCACTCCATCGTTATGCTTCGAGAGATCAATACAAACTGAGGTATATGTAATTACCCGAAAAGCGCTTAATCAACTGACACCACAATGTAAACAATCGGACAAGTATTAACAGGTCTACACTTGTTTGAAAACGAGGGACAGAACTTATGGCATGACTACGTACACACAGAGGCAAGTAAAACAAGATATTTAGGTAAAAAGAATCACCATATATTGCAAGCAGCACATTATGCTCCACCATTGGAATGCAAGTTAAAAAAAAGGATATTATTTAAAACTACCTGACAATAAAATTATTAGTCCGTGGTAATTAACCCTGCAAATCGTTTACCATGGTACACGAACAAAGGCTTTACAAATATAGGCTTTACAAGTATTTTAAGGCCTAAACGTAGACTTATCTGTTCCAGTTATAGCTCTAGGCGCAGCTGAGATGTAGTCAGCTCACAAACACTCACGTCAAAAAAAGCCAGTGGCCAGCAGTGGATAGTGACGTAAGGAACGTCACAAGCTAGGGGCTGCTTATGTCGTTTTCCAAAATTTACGGTAAAAAACCCTAGAGAGTGAAATACTGCTTAAAAAATCTACTCTCTGTTATCTCTCTAAAATAGAACTGCTCATTTAAAACACTCAAACTTGAAGAAAAATCCATGTACTCGTACATTCTCTTTCTCAAGAAAAATAAAGCATGTGCAAAAAGATAAAAATGTACTAAAGTGATATACCCTCAGAAAGTTATCCCTTGTTCCAAAGTTGTGGCAACTCAAAAATCAATGTAATGTAGTAAGCCCAAAAGAAGGTGGCATGTAGTCACTGCCCTATATTTGAATACGTAAAATGTCAAACAAAGTCAAGTGCACGCTAAGAATTTCAGTCAGCAATATTAATATCCACAAAATACCCAATTAAAATGACATTTTACCGGTTCACATCAGAGTTTTTATCAAAGAGAAAGGCCGGCTTTCAACAGAATCGTCTGCAAAACAGCTACAAGGCATCTACAAAATAAAGCTGGGAGAATGTGAATGGTGGTTCTCCGCAATGAATTTCCAGTAAGAGGAAGCCGATATTGAACAAACTTCTTCAGGACAAGCATTAATTGATGTTGTCCGATGGTATACAAAAGAAAACTTACCGCTGGAGGTTAAAATTCCATTAGAAAATGGACGGGTAGTACCCAAACCAAAACAACTAAACGTAAGGTACAAAATAAAAGGGTACTACTTCATAAATTGGTGTTTGGGAGTTTAATATCCCAGAATCTGGAAATTAATGAAACGACACCCAAATCACAATCTCAACAGGAAAGTAAAATGACGCAGAACACCTTTTTGAGAGAAGGTTAAATGAGTGGCCTTGAAGAAGGTATCTTGTTAGGACCAAATATTCATATAGGGCTAGTACGTGTAGAAATCACAGGGTGGCGCGCTGGTTGCCAATGGGCAGACTGTAGGCAGAACCAGCTCTCTACGAGGGACAAACAATATTTTATGAGGAAATTTCTGAGATAGTCGTTGATAATACTATAACATTGGATTCTAACACAATACTGAGTCGCTGAGAAGAAAGGTATAATACGTGTGGAGTTATACAGTCAACAGACTATGAAGTTTGCCAAAAGAAAATCATTAAGACGGGATTGGTCAAGGAATCGACACTCTATCATTAATAAATAGAAATTCAAATTACTGAGACGTGACATAATTTAGCCATTCAGCCCATGGTAAACGTTTCGTTCCATCGAAAGAAGTACTTTTTGGCCCACTTTATGGTAAGTCTGACGAATACACTTTATTTTATATTTTCTTATTGCTTCGACATGATAAGCTATTTGTTGAAATAAGCAAGTATAAACTTCGACTCTGGCAATAGATGGCACCGTATGCTGTCTTGTTTCGATAGACCTTATAGCTTAGATACAGGTGAGTTTCTGTGCTTTCGTTCCTTGTCCTGACCTGACGCCAAGCGTAGGAGATGCTGATGAGTTGCCAGAAAGCACAAAACATCTGTCCATAATTGACTGTCTGTGGCTGGAGAGACAAAACCAACATGTTTAGATGTAGCTGTTCTTCGTATTCTTATTTCAGATAAAAATATCGAAGACTTTATTTCAGAATTGATGACAGTTTTCTATACGGGTGTCCAACTTCATGGTCACACAGTGATTCTTTCCGACATTCTAAAAGTTGCTACAATACAACTGCAAGCTTGTTCACCATGCTTGTTCAATCCTTTTGTACAAGCACCCTTGAATGTCGTATAAAATGTGGTACAAGATTTGTAATTGTACAAGCAGCTTGAGGATTGAATTGATTTTAATTATGCATGCTTGAGCTGGGCGCGCTTGCGCAAGCAAAACGGTACTTGTATATACAGGATTTTCAAGCAAGTACAAGTTGACGATCGCATCCTGCTTTTGAATCAAAGGTGATAAAAGAGACAAAAGGTTTAAATACGCCTCCTCATCCATTCTAAGATAATTGTGCTAGTCACGCGGACATATTTTCAGCTCACTTTATATGTTAATGTGAAAATATGTTCTTCTTCTCATCAACCACTCTTTACAACACACCGAACGATTTTTTATTCGAGACTTTCTTGTTCACAAGATCAAAATCGACCAAAGCGAGCCCAACGTCGTCCGAGCTCGACATATTTTATTAAACTATCTCTATTTTTATCGAGCATGCTTGTACAAAAAGAATGAATAAGCATGCTGGACTAGCAGCAACCTTAAGAATAAAGTGCAAACACTGAGAGCAGGTAACGATATGTCAGAAAGAGCAGTCAAGTTAATGTAAGACTTGGCTTAATCAGTGCTGATGACGAACAAAAACAATTTTTATTACCTTGCGTACTAGAACACAGCCAGAAAACTGAGAAAATAAAATTTAGTAAATGATGTCCTTTTATTGATAAATATCTAACAAATATAAGATACAAATGAAGGAGTATTTTATTTGTTGTTGGATTTGAATCCCATACATGGTTTTCCTATTAACATTCAAATTTAAGGTTTGGCTGGAGGTCGGCACGGGTTATCATTCCCCGATCGAAATAATATTTATTTTTTCAGTTGTAAGAGTCAAATGGAAAAAATAGAGGGCATGCGTATCTCAACAAAAAGTTGTTTGCCCCCAGAAGCGCGGCCACCCTACTGTACACTATCAAATAGTATGTATTTGGGTTTATGGTACTTGTACTCAACCCAAATTTGTTATTTAATAACAGGAATAATTACACGATCAAACGAACTTACCTGTAAGTGATGTTCGATCTTCATTATGTGAAGTCCTCGTCGAAGTAAATAGCTCCCTCCCTCCCTATGTGTGACCCAATTGTTGCAACGACTTGGCTTTGAAGTAAATGAAGGTTTATAGGCTTCCAGAGGGGAGAAAGGTAGGGGAAGGGGCGCGGTGCCGCTTTCCTTCTCTGCGTGGCGGTTGGATACTACTACGAGGGTACTACGATATGTATTCTAAATATTTACTTCGACGAGGACGGAACATAATAATAACTTATAGCATCTTAACTACTTGATACTGACCTTGACAGTAGCTGCATGTGCTTAATACACATGATCAAAGTACTCCGATGATAGCAACATTGAGGTACACGCTGCTGTTTCAATAACGGAGTCCGTTGGTTTCCTAGCTCCAAGAACATTCTTCCCAGTAGGATGTACTGGCACGTCAGACCGAAGCAGATTCCCATGAAGAGTGCATCGAATCCAATGACGGTTAAGGTAACTACATATAGATTGACAATGGCGTGGAATAAGTAGGTAATTTGGTACATTGGAGTTCGTTTCCAGTCATAGGGGTAGATAGATTTGTATGGTATTTGCCTGAAAAAGATGGAGACGTAATAATACTGTTAGCCAGTAAAGGTGGGTACTGACCAACGATACGAGGCGTAGTGTAACATGTTACACACCGAGCATTCATGCAGTCAGTACGTAGTGTTACGGGAAAACCAGCGAGCAACGAGCCGCTCGTTGCTCGCTTTGAGTGCTCCACCCGGCTGTCGGTTTTTCGGCGAATCCTTTGAGTGTTACGCGGTTCGGTCAGTACGCTGCAACAAGTCGTGACGAGCGCACTAGATGAGCGCACGCGCACACGTTGTTCATTTCGTTTATTTGTTCGTTTATTATTAGGAATATGGAGTGGAACAAAGAAAGAACTCTGCATTTCATCGAAAAATATAGAGAAGAATCGGTATTGTGGAATCCAGCCCATCCAGAGTACTACAACAAATTAAAAAAAGAAGACACCTGGGATAGATTGGCTTTGTTAATGGAGAGCGAAAGAAATACGTGTAAAACGAAAATGACAAGCTTACTGGCGTCATTGAGGAGGGAAAAAGTGAAAATAAAAAGATCAAGAGGTACAGGAAAGGGTAGCTTTAGCCCCCAAATACTCAACCACATTTTAAAGTTAAGTTGTATGTCAAGTTATGCTGCCACGTGTCAGATTCAAAGACAAAACGAGGGCAGCATTAGTTTAAGAACAACATAAATAAAATAAATATAGGTATGTTTTATATTCCAAAAATACTTTATTTTCAGGTGCTGAAGAAGTATATCATAGTACTTGGTTTGCATACAAAACTATGATGTTTCTACTGGATAGAAATACACCTGTTGCCACAACAGATACGGTAAGTCTTATTTTAGCATAATTTTCTTGCCAGCTGACAGACCCTTCTTGGATGCAATATTCAGCAACTTCATTACGAATATTGTGAGCAGTTCTTGAAGCCCTTCGCGGTCTTATTTCCAAGGGTAACATACTCGCCATATCATTGTTACTTTCTCTCCAGTTTCCTAATCTGACTATCCCATTAGTTTCTTCGTCCAAGCTGCCCGCAGGGGTACATACATGAGCGTTATTACCTTTTCTTAAAAAATTGTGAAGTAGTGTTATTGCTGTTTCAACAGATGTTGCGGTTTTTGGTTCTAACAGCATTGGTTTCCGCAAAACCCTTAAAACTGCAGATAATAAGCCGAACGCATTTTCCACCACTCTATGAGCTCTGCAAAGTCGGTAGTTGTATATTCTTTCTTTAGAACCACGTTCATGATATCCTGAATATACTTTCATCATATTTTCGGATAGAGCAAGAGCTTCATCTCCAACAAAGTAATATGGAACTTCTTCCGTTCTTGCTGGCAAGGCATCAGTGGGCTCAGGAATTTTCAGTGCATTATTTTGTATTTTTTCGTTCAATTCACAGTTGTTGAAGACCCCTCCATCGGATATTCTTCCTTGACTTCCAATGCTTACGTACAAAAAGTTATATCCTGCATCAAAAACTTCCAATAATACAATGCTGAGGAAACCCTTGTAATTATAAAATTCATTTCCGCTGTTGATCGGTGCCTGCAGTATAATATGTTTTCCATCGATTGCTCCTATGCAGTGTGGAAAATTCCACAAAGTATCATACTCATTTGCTACAGCCATCCATTGCTCCGGTGTTTCTGGCATCTGAAATAATTATTTACGTTTATTTTCAGCTACGCGCTGCTCCTTCAGAACAAAGCAACACTGAGTGCCCTCCATCTGCCAAACCAAGCAACATTGATTGCCTCTGCCTCCAAAAAGGAAGAAAGCAGTAGCCCCCAACCCGGAAGAGATAATGGCATCTACTTTAAATAAATATTTTAAAAAAGAGAACCGAGAAAACGGAGTCAACTTCACAAAAACTTGACGAATGTGAAGCGTATGGTATTTTTTTGGTAGATAAATTAAGATCTTATTCAAAGACAACAAGTACATATGTTCAGCATTACATATCAATATATTGTTTAGTGCTGATCGCGGAGAGTATGAGTATGTTGGCGATTATAACTATAATTCTTCACAAGGATACTCTACACGACCAACAACTTCAAGAGCTCCATCAATGCCACAGCAAAGCCCTGAAGCACCTGCTTCACATACGCCTGATCAAACTGACTGTGGTCTCCAACTTCGAGTGAACAATTTCTATCAGAATTTGCTGATCTAATTTGATATGTAATGAATACTTTTTCTGGATTAATCAAAACAGTACGTACCTTTGCGTAAACTTTTAATACTCCAATCAAAGCTTCGCTGACCTCTTTCACTATAAATCCTATCCGTAGCTTTGAAATCTTGAAAAGATATTGCATACTAGTATAGGAATCTCCTGTCACATAAAAACGTAGTGTTAGTGCCAATCTTTCCATGACACTGATTGCTTTTCTATAATTTGTATCCTTTTTATGTACTTTTGGTCCAATTAAACTCACGAGTTCTTCAAAATCGATCGGAGACATGCGAACAATTTTTTTATACTGTCCGCTAATCATTTGGTTTTTTAATATTGCTATCAATGACAAACCACCCGATACGTGTCTGTTTTTGAATAAGTCTGACATCCAATAACGTTTTTTCTTCTTCTTAATTTGGATTAAACAATAATTTAGCAAAATCAAAGATCCCAACACAATCTCCTCGTCAGACATCTTGGCTGAGACTGTGCGAATATGGAGCACATATTTCAAACGAGCATGTTACACCGATTTCGAACACAATGCGTACATACGCGATGCGAACATATTCGGTGCGAATGTTACATTACACCTCGTAGCGTCGGTCAGTACCCACCTTAAGGAATACAGGTAACCATTAGCGTGAAGTCAAAAATGTGTAATGAGTGATGAGGCTTCCGAAAAGTCGGTGGGAAAATGAAGCGACGCCGACGGGTAAGAATTAATACCTGCATAAACTGAATTTTTGCTACCTTGATACTAAAAAGAACATTTTCATAAATAAAACTATTTTTTGTTACTCGTAACCAGAGGTGCAGAAGCACATTTTTTAGTGGAGAGGAAGACAGTTCTTAATTTGTAACCCCTCAGGAAGAGATTACACAAATTTCGTTAAAACATGAAACTTATAGTCTTTGATCTGGCCGATTTAGTGCCAGATAACCCTTTAGAGTTTAGACAACATATTCATCGACATAAATATTCTTAGAGCAAGTAATAAGGGAGTGATCCAAGATATTAGTGGGTGGAAATTGGTAAGAATTCTACCCAAAGAGTACCAAGGCGATGTACGAATCCTGCGTACTCCTAATACGATTTCAAGTCGCAAACTGGCAATTCTATGTGGATACTACACTAAATCCCGTAGTATGTGACGTAGTGCACTAAAAGCTAAGTGACAACTTGATGATTTTGAGAACGGCTCTTATTTCCATTAAGCTATCAATTATACTTTTCACAAGTGCTCTTCACCGTATCAATTTCCAAGATGATGCAATAAGCTTCCAGGCAAAATTCTGAAGTGCAGGCGCGTGGAGAATTGAATAAGGATCGGGTACATTCTAAACTGGCGTTGTAAAACCGCAAAAAATGTTCAAAATGATGATATTGAGGTTTTTAAGTGTTGGCATGAAGTCGCGAAAAACCATGTCACTCATTCCCGTCAGTCTGTCGGTCTGACTGTCTGTTGATCCTTGGCGCGTCTATAACTTTGGAAGTACCATTCGGATTTTGGTGGAACTATTACACAAATATACTACTGTACAAAGGTAAAAAGGCTTTTTAGTTTTTGAAAATCGCTAAAAGAGCAATGAAGAAAAATGCCAAAAACGACAAAAAAATCGCTTCAAATTTTTCAGAAAAAAATTGCTGTGGCTAAAGATAGGATAGTGAGGGTTGTAGGTGGTAGTATATGTTGAACTTTTTAGTGCTAGCAGTTTATACTTTTCCAGCCTCGATAGTTCTACGCACCTATTAGACGTATGTCATACATACATCACAGATCACCGTACATTCGCTTCTAAAACTTGAATGATGATATCTTCGATACACACTGCTTTGAGTGATGAGGGAAGCCTGAGCGATGATGGGTGTATTCTTGAATACAGGGTGTTCCAAAGAGACGTGACAATATTAGTAGGGTAGAAAGTACGTCCAAAAATAATAAAAATAGTCCAAAGATACTCCCCTACCGAGGTACAGGGTGATGAAGTTTACGAAATTAACAGAAAATTGTATCTACGGAGTGGGTAAAAATACTGAGTTAGGATTTTAGATGTTCAGTGAGCACACCATCGACAATAGACTCGCAGAGTTTCCCGGCTCAAACTAAAGAAGGGGCGTAGTTACTGGGTACCTGGACGCCTAATAAGCAATATTTTCTACGCCACTGGACTTTTCGGAGAAAGTAAGTGCACTTTATAGATTACTATGTCACTCAATTTCCAATAAAATTTGTCACTTATGGAATTTTTGTCAGATCACTCATTTTAAGGAAATTTAGGTTTGAATATTTGAAGTAAAATCCTAAAATATCTTTAAAAGGCTTAGACCCCCCATTCTGATAACACCATGAAGCTGGATATTGAAAACACTACATGGGCTATGAAGGAAGCTAAGGCATCTCATTAAGACGTTATTGGTATAATATCCATGTCTTACCCACAATCAGTAGCATTCATTCATTTAACCTTGTCTGGGCACGCCAGTGGTTTCCATGGTACCTATAATCAGTGACATATAAATCCGAACACCCAGTTTAAATGGTTTTATTTTAATAAAAGTTGGTGAATGTATTTATCTTACTGTAAATAACAAGTGAAAAAATGTTCAGCCTTATCAGTTGGACATTCCGGTTTTTATACTGCTTTTTTTTTAATTCACTAACGCTCTAAAAATGAATATTTCAGCCGCAGTAAAGAATCAACGTTGGCGGATTTTGGTTCTTGACATCCTTTACGATCGGTTACGATGCCTAGAGTACGGAGACCTGTACGATTTCGTCAACATAGTGAGTTTGATAGGGGCCGTATAGTGGGACTTCGAGAAGCTGGACTTTCTTTTCGGGCAATTGCAGTTAGAGTGCAAAGAAGTGTAGACTCTGTGGTTAGGTGTTGTCAGGCATGGCTTCGAGAAGGCCGTACGCAAAGAGCAAGGGGCACTGGACGCCGCCGTAGAACAACAGGCCGTGAAGATCGCCGCCTAAGATTATTGGCCTTAAGGGACCGTTTCTCCACTACTAGGTCCATTGCAAATGGCATGCACGATGGTCGTGCCAGGATTAGAAGGCGACGTGGTGAAAGGAGGAATCCACAGTTTTTTGTTGAAAGACATGTTCATCACACTGTTGGAGTTATGGTTTGGGGTGCTATAGCTTATGGTTCCAGGTCACCTTTAACCTTCATCAGAGGTAACATGAACGCGCAGCGTTATATCCACGAAGTTCTAGAACCCCATCTTTTACCCTATCTTGACGCCCTGGCAGATCCAACTTTCCAACAAGATAATGCCCGACCACATGTTGCAAGAGTCACAATAGACTTCTTTCAACATAATGATGTCACATTGTTACCATGGCCACCAAGATCTCCCGACTTATCCCCAATTGAGCATGTGTGCGATATGATGGGTAGGAGATTGCTCAATTTGCAACGTCCTCCTCAGACTCTAGAAGCACTTCGAGAGGAGTTGGTGGTTGCCTGGAATGAGATACCACAGGAGGACATTAACCACCTGATCAGAAGCATGCCTAGGCGCGTTGGAGAATGCGTAGCACATCAGGGTGCATCCACACATTATTAAAGGTCAAAGGGCTTTAAATCAGTGCAATCATTTTGAAATTTTTATCATTTACTTATTATGCTTCATTAAGTACTTATACAAAATTTTATTAAAATAAAACCATTTAAACTAGGTGTTCGGATTTATATGTCACTTAGTATATTACCCATGTTCGATTGTGCTGTTTGACAACGAGTGATTGTGGAACTGATCAATTTGGGAATTCTTATTATTTTACTTTTGTTCTTAATAAATATCACACATCGTTAGCAACCTCGCACACGGAGTATGAGGATGAAGTACAGAACGCTTACAGCACTGTACTACGCCAGGTATTTTTCAAAGAGTCGTAGAGTCTTTGTGGAGTAGAGATAGAGCAAGGGCTTGTGTTGAATCCAGATGTGCTTACTTTCAACACCTGGATATTATAGCATTTATTTAACATTATTTTTTGTTCCCAATGTTATGTCCTCATAAATTTAGAAATAACCGCGTTCAAGTTGCATCAAATGTTTATTGTTGTCGTGTTTGATTCTTATTGGTTTTACTTATTTGTTTTTGAAATAAAAGTTTTTCAGGTTTTGAGGTTTCTTTATCTATAAACAAAAATGAATATGCCAACAAAACTAGTGGCGAGCGCAGGAAAGGTTTAATTTTTAAACTGGATAAGACCAATGCCAGTGATCTGTGACAATATTTATGTAAAATTGGATATTTTAAAAAATGCAATGATTTCCACCGAAAAGGCCACTGGCGTAGAAAAGATTCCCTACCAGTGGTCCAAGACCCTGGCTTAGTTTGGACCGGGTAGCCAATGGTTTTTTTCTTCTAAGTGGGACTAACTGGTGCCGAATATAAAATAAGCGTTGCGAAAGAAGTGCGGGGAAGTACTTAACCCCAATTAAAAAAAGAAACGCCGATTAAGAAAATAGGATAGCTATTTGCATCTATTCCATTAGGTCATTCCTCTTGCATGATCTTCACCCTTCCTTGGATTTTGACAATACCTTAGCGCTTCATCAGTAGATAGCGACAACCATTATTTCAAAAATGTTTTGAAACTTATTAAGTTAGTATTTCTCTAGTCGTAGGTTATTCAACGTGTGATTAGGTTAAGCCTGCAGTTCCTACACAACTCCGTTTTCAGGTCATAAAGGTTTCAGCTCAGCATTAATTTGAAAAAAAAAGTTAGTTACGGAAATCTACAACAGATAAACTGAATGGATCAAGTAAGCCAAGCAGGGCCACAAAATTAGTTCATAAACATTGTTTACTTGCCCTGCCGGTAGTTACCGTCCATCTGGTAACGATGCCCCTTCCAATATCCGGAACCGCGCAGTATGCGCGGAGCAGTCAACCATACCGGTACGCTGGGCTGTGGGTACAGGTAGCAGAAGGAGGCGCGTATCAAAAACATTTATCTGTTATACGTTTCAAAGGCAATCGAACATCAAGCAACTGAAATATGCCCTCCCTCATCCGTTACATCCACTAACGCCTAATTTATAACCTCTACAAAAATAGTCAGTAACAATCGGAAGCGACTCCTTGCCGATACTATTTATTCACTTGCATTAACCCCTGAACGTTTTATTTGGCTTAAATAACACAGAAGAGGCTAAACATAACCTAGTTACACAGTAGTATCGTATGTATACCCTATTTCACGAGTAACCATAAACGCTTTGACGTCTACTGAGGTGAACAACTGATCAGCAAGTGACATTTTTGTGTTGGTCTGCAACGATGGCAAAAATGAATCGGGTATAAATCTAGTAAAAAATGTTTGTGCCGTTTTTTTTCTTGTGGATTTTACCTTTCGAAATAAAAAAGCTGTTAGCAAGTACAAAATTAATCTATACCGTACAAATACCGAAACAAGATATGGCTCTGTCTACCTGGCGTTGACGGATCCGTCAGAATTATGTGTGCTGTGCCGATATGAGAAATTTATAGATATTGCGAGATAACTGTCTGTCATTCTACCGGGATGGATAAACGTGAAATAGGGTACTAGCCTTATGCAATACTTTTGGCCATCTGACTGTTAGTTAGATATTAGTTATATACAATTTGAAGGTATATTTTTATGTATTTGCTAACTGTTGTTCCATTTTCAATAAAAACTGTACAAAAAAGTGGCGGCAAGTGGGTTCCACTTCCCACGCAGCGCCGTCATCAGTTCATGGAGGATTATACTCAGCATAAGGGCACGTTCAGATGACAAGCGCTCAACGCGCGTTTTGATAACGCGCGTTTACAACTACATACATTTTATTCAAGCCGTACACATGCTGACGCACGTTTTAATAAAGCGCGCGTTGAACGCTGCGTAGCGCTCGACTGTTGTCAGCGCGCGTCAACGTCATTGGTTTTCTATGTTTCCGTTCAGTTGAGCGCGCGCTTTCGATGTGGATAGACGTATTTTAGGGTTCATCAGTACCAGTTCGTTCAGAAATCGTCCGAAATGGAAACCGAAGCTTTTAATACGGAATTATTGATAGATGAAATAGAGAAACGTCCTGCGATATGGGACATGGCAAGTAGCGATTATTCAGATAAGAACTTAAAGAGACGGGCTTGGGAAGAACTCGTCCTTATATTCTGTGAAGATGACAATGAGGAAAAGAAGAAATTATTATGTGAGTATATTTATTTACATTTACAATCAGTTTGTGTTACAAATTAAATATTGCGATCCAAGCAATCAACTTTTCCTTCGTTGATGAAATAATTTGTTAAATGTACTCGAACATTATCCGCCTGTCGCACAGCACGCCCGGTATAATGTGAGGCTACATTTTCCAGTGGTGGAGTATAAAGTGTATCTTCATAATTGTAGCCATCCCTCATTCTGACATAATTGTGTAGTGTACATATCGCTTTTACGATCTTTTCTGCAAAACCGATGTTAACATCTAACGGCCTATGTAGAAAGCGCCATTTATTGCACATTATACCAAAAGTACATTCAACATACCGGCGTGCTAATGTCGAACGGTTATTAAATATTTTTTTAGCATAAGTTAGTGACCTTCCCCCATATGGCCGCATTAAATTCTCCATCATGCCAAAAGCTTCATCAGCCACTATTACATATGGCAACACTGTCGGTCTATTTTGTATTAACAATGCCTTTGGCTCAGGTAGGTCTAATGACCTTTCTGTCAGCTTTTTGTACAATGATGAATTGTTGAATATACCTGAGTCACTGTTTTTACCATAGGCACCTATGTCAACCCACACAAAACCATAGTTTGCATCCGCTAGCGCCAATAAAACTAGCGAAAAAAAGTGTTTGTAGTTATAATGCATGGAACCCGTGTGTTCAGGCTGGATTGACCGTATATGTTTCCCGTCCAAGGCTCCCAAACAATTTGGAAACTTTGAGTTCTTTTCAAATATCGTGGATATTTCATACCACTTTTCTTTCGTTGGTTCACTCATAACAATGGGTCTCAATTTTCTCCAAATAGTTTCACATACATGTGGTATTATAGTAGCCACAGTAGATTTTCCAATTCTATAATCGTAGCTTAATGTCCCAAGTGAACATCCTGTGGCCAAATATCTGAAAAAAAACAAACTATTACTACGTATAAATACTGTTTTTTCTTTCAGCGTTATCCCTGCAAAAGAAATGGAAGAGTTTACGAGATAATTATATGAGAGAGGTGAAGAAAATGAAGACTGTTAAATCTGGATCAGGAGCGTCCAAAACTTCGTCATATATTCATTATAATAGACTACGATTTCTACAGAAATCTATAGCCAACAAAGATACAGAAAGTAGTTTCGATGCAGATAATGCATCAGCTTCGTCAGAAGTTGCTGAGGTAGAAGTCAGTTCTGCCTTTAAGAGTCCTAATACATCTACTCCAAGAAAAAAACAAAAAATAAGTTCTGCTGACGAAAGATTTGCAAGCATATTAGAGCAGAGTTTAGCACAGAAAAATGCTTCGCTTCCAAAAGAAGATAACGATGAAGCCAAGCTGTTTTGTTTGTCACTCGTTAAAGAGATTAAAAAAATCCCGGAATATAGACGACTTCATACTAAAATTGGCATTTATAATTTAATCCGGCAAAACCAAAATGTCCATCAAGGACCGCAACATGAGACATTTGAAAATCAAAATTATCGTAACCCGTTACCACAACGAAGAAGTTATTTGTCACAAGAGCAGCGTAATCAAGCTTCTGTTGAAGGCTTTCAACATCATGATTATAGATCACAGCAATCTAGTGTGCCAAATAATTTAGCACATTATGGTTATACTACAGCACTGGAACCTCTATCGCCAGTAACAACTAATGCCAGCAACGAATCGGAGTTAGAGTTATTCTGCGAATAACAAAATGTTCTTTTTTCTTTAAAAAAAAATATTTCCTTGTTGATTTGATTTATAGATATTTTGATTAATAAAAAACTTACCTCAATGTAATTATGAGTTTTTCTTCTGGTGAAATGCTATATCGCACAGCGTTTTTATCTGCTACGAGTTCATCGTTTATGAGAGCCAGTAAGTCATCAAATGACTTGATGGACATTCTGAAGTAGTTAAAAAATTTGGGTCCGAATTGCCTTAACTTAGGATACAAAATTATGTACTGGCTTTCAGTCAGCCTGTGTGACAAAATTGGGTGGACCCAATATCTCCGTCTTCTGTCGCGTCGTTTCTGCCATCGTCGGTATAAAATCACCGTTAAAACTGTTTCTACGTCCATCTTCGACAAATATAACAACTCTATTGACTGAACCATGGCGGCCGCGATAACGCGCGTTCAACGCCTGACAAGCGCGTGTCATGTGAACACTATACAAAAATTTAGCGCGCGTTCAACGCGCGTTGAACGCGTGTCATCTGAACGTGCCCAAAGTCAGACCCCATAAGAAAAAAATTAGGAACGTTTGTAAGAGATAAACCCAAGCTCTAAGTCCGTTAAACAGGTCCATAGTATTAGTACATAGACATTCTTTCCCTAACCTATTGGTCGTCCAGCTGCCAACGCTGCCTCTCCCCGGTAACTAACCAGGTCAGACGCGCCAGCGGGGCAGTAATATCAGAACATTTACCGAAACCGACACGCCGTGAGCAGAAGCAGACGGGTATCGAAAACATATTTTTCAAGGGCAAGTGTCCGGGGAGATCAATGAAACCTATGAAATATGCATAATTACCCAGATTGGGAGCGTATCAATATGCTAGCATCGAAAAACTGAGATATACTGTCTCCTACCCCTTGTAACATATCTCTTCAACACCCGCGCCCTATTTTTCGTCAAAAATGATCAGGATCCTATAAAACTTATGAAACGAAGTTTGAGCGATTTTAGTTTTTTAGGTTTTGCCCTTTATTCCCGCCGCCACTGAACCGATTTTCAAAAACTCTAAAGCTTAATAGTTACCTTGTAATAAAATTTTATCGAAATCGGTGTGGTACTTATCAAGCTACAGACGGGCCATGTATCATCCATAAAATACAATATCCCATTTTCGAAATTTTTCACGATTACAATTAAAAGCAGGAATTTCCACCACAACAAAAAAGAACAAACAAAATACGTGGCTGACTTTTTCAAACATCATCCTGGAGTTGTATGCAGGTGTCCAGTATAAATACCTTTCAGCCTCCAACAATGGCGAAAGAAGAAACCCCACACTGAAAAGCGTCCCACACGATAAGAGATAGATAATCGTATACATCCGTCGTTTGTAAAGTACTTTCAGAGTTTTGTCTACCTCGGGCTCAAAAACGTTTGGCCAGTAATCGTCGAATGTCGTTTGTAGGATATGCTTCAATCTGCTGGAGTGACTGTACAGGATGGTGTACTTGACAACTGTCTAAAAAAAGAAAATAGTTACAGCTAAAACGTAAAACACACTGAGTTCTTTACTAGAGGGGATTACCGAAAAATGGAGATAAGTAGTCTTATGTGATTCAATTAAGCAAGCAACCATTGATGCTGTCAAAAGTTTTCGAGTAATCTATGGAGATTAATGCTGGAGACGCTATTGTCTTCCAAATTTGAGTTGGGTCGATCCCGAATTATTAGTATACCCAACTACAATAGAAAAGCAGATATTTGTAGTATTGGTGTGTTTCAAATCATTCCGAGTGTATGAGGAGGAAGTAGTTGGAGATAATCACCTTAAGCAGTTTTTGTCTGCTAAGATGGTTCTCATGTGATTTTGGACAATTAGCACTTTTATTTTTAAAACAATGACTGCTGTGATAAGAAAAATGATATTCTCTACAGTGCATGATAACTTATAGCAGGCGTTTCAAATACAACCCATACCATTGGAAAGACATACGTTTGAGTTTGTAAGAAGATGCCATAATTTTTTTTAAAATCCATGGTATTTGCGGAATAATCAAATTTTCGTACATCTATTAAATTCAAATGGAAAGCTCTATTCACCAATGCAAAACTAACATGTGGCTTCATAAAAATAAAGTCGATGGTGAAAGGCAAGGAACCAAACGTCAGATTGAGTGTTTTAAAATTCCATTTCAATGAAAGACATGAGAAAAATAAACCCCATGTTGAGGAAGTTCCAGTTTATCTGACTACTCTGGAACTAATCTGAAGCTCGAGGCTCTCTATATTCCCATTTAACTGACATCATATCTCATCAATAGTAAGGGTCAAAGAAAAATAGCTCTATTCTAGTTTTTGAAATTTTTGCATTCAAATATTTTAGTACATGTCGATGGTCTAGTGGCAATACCAGATATATGTATATCACCAAAATTTTGAAAATTTTGTTTATTTATGTCAATTGGCCTACCTAGCACTCAGACATCAAACTAAACGATCATAGAAGTCCTTTATGCGGCTGTAAGTAATATCACGTATCAGATACCACTGATGTGACGCCGGGAAAGGGAGGAAGGGGATAGTTGTAACATTTTTTCTTCCTTTCGACTGCCTAAGTTATTGAGTATTTTTATTGCAAAGGTATTCTAAATGATTAACTGTGTATTTGAAAATGTATTCCCAAAACATTTTTTCCTGAATCAACAGTTAACACTTTTTGTGGAAAAAGTCGCTTATTACAACTTATCCCGTTATTGGGGCCAGTAGTAATGTTCTACAAAAACAACAGGCTGCATTGTTCAAGGCTTGTATTATAAAATCAACAAACAAATAATAAGAAAATTGTATTTCTTATGAACTAATGAGCTGAATCGTTTCTTCAGCAATAGATTAATTAAACTTATATTTTTTCATAATTTGCAGTTATAATCGACATAATACAAAACTTTTTATAACAATTCCTGAAACTTTGTATCCACTTTACTATCAAAATAATTAATGTGGCAACCTACATGAGCTTGAAAAATTGAAACAAGCAAATGTAACATTATTTTGGTCAAAAATGTAAAGAGATTGTCAACTAATTTCACTAGCCTTAACTATTTTAATAACTTAACTATATCATAATAAATATGGAAAGGAAAAGAAAATCGTATGAAAGTAGGAAAATGTCAGTCTTCACCAGATTCACAGTTGATACAAATGTACGAAACGAGATCACCTCCTACACACGACCTAATCTTCTAAGTCTGATTTTATACAGGGTGTTTCAGTTTATTGTTGCATAACTTTAAGATTTGATAGAACTTTTAAAATTAATGCATACAGTCTACATAAACATGGGTCGAAAAATGCGTGGCTTCCAAAATACAGGGTATTTAAATTTACTTTCTAAAATAGTTTTTTTAATTATTTCGAACAATATTTGATGTATGACAGTGAAGATTGGTATACAAGGGTTTTTTGGTACGACAAAACGAACCATGGGCATAGTTTTACTGTAGCCGCTAGAGGGCGCTTGCTACTGTACCTGTAGTGTATTAAAATGACCGAAAATTTTTTCTTAGTCCAATTTTTTGCTTTTTGAATAAAAAAACTGATTTTTCGCACTCTTCAACATGAAAAAGCTCTCTTGTGAGTTTTCGTTATAGTTAGCCGTTTTTGAGATATTTCGATTTTTAAGGTTCGACGCATTTTTAATTATTTATGGGAAAATAATATTTTTTTTACATTTTCGATTTGGGCATTCCAAGTAATTAAGACGATCGTTTAGACTGTGTTTTTAAACATAGCAATAATTCCTAACTCCAAATAAACACAAAAAAACAGAATATTAATTTGTTTAATTTTCCGATATTATTTTTAACAAATTAAATTAATTATTTACAACTAAAATGCTATTGGATAGTTAGGACAAACATACAAAATCTAAAGTAGCTGCTCGAAATATAAACCCAATTGTTCAATACACAATTCACATCTACGAATTATCCAACGTGGTATATCATTATTCAAATAAGACCTTATTTCATCACATGCATTCCTGATTATGTCTATTAGCATATCTCTTGTGGTTGCGGGGGTCTGGTACACTTTTTCTTTTAGAAATTCCCACACAAAGAAATCTAATGGATTTAGGTCAGGGGATCGTGGAGGCCAGGCGACTGGTCCTTCACGGCCGATCCATCCTTCTGGATAATTTTCGTCCAGTCAGTTTCTAACTATTCTCGAATAATGAGCTGGACAACCAACAAGTTGGAACCAGGCCAATATTCTTAAATCTAACATAACATCATCCCACATATTTGCATGTTCAGCCTTTTAAAATTCCAAGAGGGTTGCAGCATTTAACCTTGCAGGCAAAAGGTAAGGTCCAAATAGTCGATTACGGTAGATACCAATCCACACGCTCACACTAAATTCATGCTGAAAATTTCTTTCACGAACTGCTTGCGGATTTTCATGCGACCAAATATGTTGATTATGAAAATTTACCACTCCACGTGAAACATGACTCATAAAAGCTTACTTAAAAATTCCCTATTATTATCAGTTCTATCAAGAATCCACTGACAAAACGTGATTCTTCTTTCTCCGTCCCCTGGCTGTAGTCCTTGCACAGGTTGCAAATGGTAAGGACGTCTATGGTCAATTCTAAGAACACGGTGAACATGGCTTGCTGAAATTCCCATGGTACCAGAAACTCTCCTTATACTTGTGGTCGGATGTCTATCAAACTCACGCAGAATCATATGGGTAAATCTGCGCTGACGAACATTTATGTTTTGACCCCTTTGGAGATTTCCAAAACCATTTTCAATTATTTGGCGATGCACTCACAAATACTGAGCGAGTTGGATGTCGTCTGTTTGGAAATCTTCGTGCGTATTCTCTGGCTGCTTCTGCTGCTTTTTCATTTACAGAGCCATACACAAAATAAATATCCGCTAACTCTTGATTGGAGAATAAAAATGGCATTATAAATCTTACAAAAAAAAAAACAGGTAAAAGAAACTAAATTTCGTGCATTCACAATTGCAAAAAAGCGTTTCAGGTTTCAACCGACAACAAAACTAACTGTCAACTAATCGACGTTCAACCTTATTCTGCTTTCAATTTCAAAAATATTTGCAGGCACAGCCTACTTCTAAAAATTATCGAGATACTGATTTTTTAACGTTATTTTATCATAAATTCTGTTTTTTTGTGTTTATTTGGAGTTAGGAATTATTGCTGTGTTTAAAAACACAGTCTAAACGATCGTCTTAATTACTTGGAATGCCCAAATCGAAAATGTAAAAAAAATATTATTTTCCCATAAATAATTAAAAATGCGTCGAACCTTAAAAATCGAAATATCTCAAAAACGGCTAACTATAACGAAAATTCACAAGAGGCTTTTTTATGTTGAGAAGTGCGAAGAATCAGTTTTTTTATTAAAAAAAAAAGAATTGCACTAAGAAAAAATGTTCGGTCATTTTAATACACTA